GGGGGGGGGGGGGGGGGGGCCCTTAAGACTTTGAGAGCGTGGGGCACCAAGGGTGTCAGACGGCCTATGTGTGCAGGGGTTCACCCACGGATGGGTTTGATCCTGTGCCAGGCACTGTTCTGGACGCTTTGCCCACATGAGCTCCCAAGGCCTCGGGCGTCTGAACGTGTGTGGTGGGACGAAGTGGGGATGGGAGAACCATGGGTCATTCTGGAATCTTAGCCCTGATGGAAGGAGTAGAGATGCAGAGGGGCCATGGAGTCTGGGGAATCCTCACCTTCAAGGACAGAGACAGGAGAGCAGTGGGGTGAGGCTGGGAGGTGGTGAAGAGCCTGGGGGTCTTTTATTCTCAACGAAATAGCTTGTCCCTGGGCTTCCTCCTCTGTAAACCCACCATGTTGCAGGGACAGGAGGACATTGTGTGGGTAAGGTGCTTCTGGGTATTGGAACTTTTGCCATTTGCCAGGGTGGTGGTGGGTCCAGAGGAGAGGTGCTGGTTTGGCATTCGTTCATTATGTACCCATCCTTTGCGCCAGGTGCTCTGTGGAAACAGCCCTGGCAGTGCAGGCCCGCCTGAGCCTGGAGACCAGGAATGTGGCCATCAGCAAGGTTGTGAGGCTTTCTCCTGAAAGCTCGGCATCCATGGTGCTGGACTCACCGAGGCCAGTGGGTTGCTGGGGAGGCCGAGGGGGCCTCCGTGAGGTCCAGGACGGGTGGCCAGGTGGGCGCCTGGCTCTCCAGGTCAAGGGTAGGTTTGCAGGGAGAGCACGGAGGCCTGGGGCTGCTCTGCAGCTGGTTGTGAACCTCCTCCTTCAGTCCCACCATGAATCGGGGACTCCGGTGAGCACGGCCGGCCTTGCAGCTGCCACAGTGGGAGGGATGAGGGACACGGTGGGGGGGGGGCGCAGCTCTGGGTGACTCAGGGAGGGGAGAACAGGGGCAGGAAGACAGTGGAGACAGGAGGGGGGCCGGGAAGCGCTAGCTTCCTCTCTCCAGGGCTGGGCCACGTGCTTCCCAAGGTGCTTCCTGCAGATAAGTGGGCTTCCGACAGCCCCTTCCTGCTCCCCCCTTCCCCTACCCCTCCCATCCTGCTCCAGCCCCTGGGGACCCTCAGCTCCCCCACTCAGGCCAGGCCAGTGGCCTTGGGAAGAGCCTGGACATCCTGGGGCAACATTTCTAGGCAGGCAGGGTCCACCCAGGCTCGGGAAGAAAGCGGGCCCAGACCACAGACAGCGCTGGAGACTCAGCTCTGCGGGGTCAGTGAAATCCTGGGAGGCAGAGATTTTTCCTGAAGCGGGGCCGGCTGGGCAGGGAGAGAGCCCGGTTTCCCTCAGGGGTCAGGGCTGGTCCTGGGGAAGAGGGCCGCGCTCTGGGGTGACCAGAGGCTGTTGGGGGGGAGGGGTGGGTATTGCGGGGCTCTGTGGGGAGGATGCTGTTCTTGGAGGGGGTGTCAAGCGCTGGTCCGTGTGGGGTAAGGCTGCTTCCAGGTTGTCATGGGGAGGGGTAGGGAGGCTTTCTGTGTGTGTGTGGGGGGGGGGGGGGTTCATTCAAGTTTATTCCCGGGAGGCTCAGGGGACCCAGGGCTGCTCTTGGAGAAGGTAGGTGAGGCTGGGCTGTCTTCTGCCAGGGCCCCGAAGGCGTCCTCATGCTGGGGTGTTCTATGAAGGTCGGCCAGGGTGTCTTGTGCGAGGGTGAGCGGCTGCGGGGGTCGGGGCCTGTTTCTGAGGAGGAGTCAGGCATGCTGGGGGCGTCAGAAGCTGTTTCTCGGGAAATCAGGGCTATTTCGACGTTAAGGGGCCGCTCTCCGCTTTTAGGGACCTTGGGGGCACAGGGTTTCCCAGCACTGGGGTAGTTCTGTGAGGCTGATGAGTGTTGGTGGGACCTGGCCAGCTCCAGTGCGGCGGCGGCGCCTGAGCTACTTTCTTTACTGCGCTCCCCTCTCCTCCGCCTACTCATCACCCCTCCCGCGTTGCCACGACAACGCGTGAAACTAAAATTCACTTCCCGGTTGCAGGTGGAGGCTAGTGGCGCCCCCTCCCCTAAGCCCTTCCTCTCAGGTCGCGCCCCCATCTTGTCGTCGCTAAGGTGACTGGGAGGGCGTGGCAGGCGTTGGAGCTAGGCGGACCAGGGGACCTGAGGCGGGGGGGCAGAAGAGGCGGGCCTCAGAGTCCGGAGTGAACTCCCCAGCCTCGGCCAGGGGTGGGGGAGCCGGGAGCCGCGCGGCACACTGTTCTGCGTGGTCCTAAGGGTTAAGTTGTGAGGTTAATTGGTTCTGGCTGTGGGAGAAGTCCCGGCCCCTCCAGGTTTCCGAGGTCCCCACCGTCCCACCCCAGGACTGGGGCATGTTGGTCTCTGTCGTCTCCTCCGGGTCTTGAGTGGGGTGGGGAGGGGAGGTCTGTAGGGTGGTAGAGAAACTGCCACCCCCAGAAATTAATTTTCCTGTTTTCCTCTCCCCTTCCTGCCCTGCCTCTGGTCCCTGTGCCCAAGGCGGCCCCCACGCCAGGTCCAAGACCCCCTCCTCGCCGCATCTTCCCCTGTGGGCCACAGATGCTCTTCCGCAGCCGAACGGCGGCGCGGCCCTTGCTGCTCAGCTACTCTCCCCACACTGAGGCCTAGGACTCCCCACACCCCCAGCGCAGCCCCTAGGCCCCCGCCTTGCTGCGCGGCCCTCGCCCTTCGCACCAACCCCACCCCTCACCCCTCACCCCGGGACCCCGCCAAGTCCCCCTCGCCCTCGGCTGGCTCTGAGCCCTCCCGGTTCCCGCCTCCGGCGCAGCCCCCTTGCCACCCCCGCTTCCCTCGCCGCTCAGGCCCCCTCCCCCCGCCGCCCCCGCCCCCGGGGAAGGCAGGCGCCGAGCGGAGCCGGGGCCGATGCAGCTGAGCCGCGCCGCCGCCGCCGCCGCCGCCGCCGCCGCCC